TTCACACGACAAATTTTCAGGACAACACAAGTTCACACAACACACTGTCACCCTAACATGAATTCACACAACATGCTGTCTCGCTAATAAGAGTTCACACAACACGCTGTCTGATCGCTAACATGAGTTACACAACATGTAGTCTCGCTAACACGAGTTTACACAACACGCAGTCTCACTAACACGAGTTTACACAACATGAAGTCTCGCTAATACGAGTTCAATCAAAACTCTGTCTAGCTAACACGAGTTTACACAACACACTGTCACACTTACACTTTATACACGATTTCACACAACACGCTGTCTCGCTAACACGAGTTTAGGCAACACACCGTCAAGCTAACAAGAATTCACACAACCCACTTTCAGGCTAACACAATTTAGTTCACACAACACACTGCCTTGCTAAGACAAATTCATACAACACACTGTCTAGCTAACACAAGTTCACACAACACACTCACATTGCTGAGTTTAAAGTAAAGGTCTCCCAAGTCAAAGTGGAAGGCAGTTCTTTAGCAGTTTTTTAACCTTAACAGTTCAGTGCTTTAGCAGTTCTTAGACAGTTTACTAGCCTTCTCCTCTGTTGCTGGCAGAAGGTTTTTGTCATACTGATCATTAGGCAGTTTTCTTAGCAGTCCACAATTTAAGCAGTACTTAGCCAGTTCATTAGCAGTAACTTAGCAGTTGCTTAGCAGTTTCCTTAGCAGTATCTTAGCAGTCAATAGGAAGGTTAAGGAGAACTGCTTAAAAACTGCTTAATAACTGCTAAAGGTGTTTTCTTTTGTTTGCTCTACTTATATGGAAATGACTCTGAGTGACCTACATATAGATTTGAAAATTTATTAACTGCTTAAAAACCGGTAAAAAGAATGCTATAAGCACTATTCTTGCCACTTATAAGAAGATAACACCACCCATATACATGATATGTCATATACAAAAATGCATATAATTTACGCTTCCAGGGTAATTTATTGAAAAAATAACATCACATATGGGAATTTAACTTAGTATTGAGATTTAGATCAGGTATGAATTGTAAATAAGTCCTTTCATTAAGTCCATTTTCTTGCATAAACGAGTGGCAACTTTAGAGCTTGGTTAATACAGTGGACTAATCTACGGATCCCTCTATCAGTAGCTTAAATTTATCTACAAATATTTTGAATTTATATTAAGTACTAATAATTAAAATACAAACTAGATTATACGTTTTATAATTTAATAGTTATCCAAACATTGCCAAATGAGAAGGGATGACTATTATATCACAAGCCCACACACTTACCATATTTTCTGAAGCATACTTTACTGCCAACAAATCTTTAAAAAATTTTCCTATATCACCCAATTCCATTGTTGCTGCATGCATGTATGATCAGACTTTTATAATTATGATCTCCCATCTCATGGAAATTAATTCAGATACACTTATCACTAAATATTATGTTCACATCCAATCCAATGTGGTGATCACAGATAATTGTATTTTCCAAAACATATTTTACCTCTTCACTTTATGGGTATAAATATATATAATATTCCAGACCATCACATAAACATCTTCACAATTTGTAATTTTGAACTGATGTGGAAAAGGCGCACAAATCTTGACTGGCTTTCCTCATTGGATACAACCCTTAGTTTTAAGCAACCAAGGGGGGCACAGCAGGTTGTTAATGTAACTAGAGGACTGGATTTGCAAGTTGATGGGATAATGATTAGAAGCTCATATGCTCATGCTTTTTATAATATGAAGCCTCAATTTATTATAAACTATTGTATCATTTCTAGTAAGATTTTTAGTATATTTTTTTTCTTTCTAATTTTATTTTCTGTATAAGAAACTCCTGCCTGGCCCCCAATTATTTGTGACGTTATAATCAGGAAGCATTAACAGTAACACATGGGCAGTGATGAAGGCTAGTGAAAGTTAGGACCACCAAGAGTGAAAAAGTGTTGTATTACTTCTTGTAAGAAGTCAAACGAATTAGTTGCACTTTTAGCAGTTTTGAGAAACTGCTTGTTTGACTGCTTAAGTTTGTTCAATACTGAACTGCTTACACAAATTCTTAGCAGTTTTTTAACCAGTCTGTAAGCAGTTTTAAGGAATGCTAAGACTAAGACTGTTAAGAACTGCCTAAAAACTGCCAAAAAATTGCCAGACTGCCTAATAACTGTTTATAAACTGCTAAAAAAAGCAGTTCACTTTGACTTGGGTCTACTTAAATAAAATTTATCATAAATTAACATAAAATGACTATTAGAATATAATTCAAGGGGCATTTCGGTAGTTTTAGGGGGCATTTCGATAATTTACAAGGGCATTTCGGTAAATCGGGGGCATTTCGGTAATTCGGGGTACTCCTTGGCAATAGAAGATTGTGACTTGCACATTGCTCCACACAATTTTTTCGCAGTATACTTTGGACCCACAGTGCTTAGCTTCTTTAACATGTTTACCCGTACGAAATTCAGAGACGTATTACGCCTGGATTTTTTGCAAATCCTGGCGTACAAGAGACGTATTCTTAAAAATACGGTTCATTTTCAGGCGTATACGTATTTTTGCCAGAAATACGTCTCATTTTTCCAGGCGTAATTTCTAAACCCGGGCGTATTTTCTACTTAGTCTCTTTGGCACAAGGAATTTAAAACTTAGAAAATTTCAAAAGGCGTATTTTTGAAAATTCTGGTGGATTTTTCAACTTAGCCAAAAAAACTTATTCTAATTCTAATTCTCTTATTTAAAAAGTATTGAGTTACATAAGAAACATTTTTATGATATCATATAACTGAAACAAAAAACAAAATATTGCATGATTATATACATTACAATATTGCATTTAGTAAATGTAATTATATAAATATTATTCAAAGCAATTATTTTTCATAAATTAAACTAATTTTTTTTAGAACTTTGTCCCATGGACCTGAAAATTTGTCATTCCCATTTTTTTTTTTAAAAGTGATATTATTTTTCTTAACACAAATGATTTCTATAACTGTAAAGTAAATACATGTAGAATATATTCTTTGATGTTTGAACTTCATGATTTGTTTAGTCAGGCTATAAACACACATGTTATTACATCATTTAAATGTTTTTCTTATAAAATGCTTTATATTTGGTATATTCAGATAATTACATTACCATCAACTTTCACTTCCCTAGCCTAACCTGCTGGGATTGTGCTAATTACTTACAGATGTGTTGAGCATGTTTAGGAACGACTTATCTGTGATGTTGTAAACCTTTCTAAGAACGGCTTATCAATTTACATCCGGTTTGTGTACAGCAGTTCTATTTCCCACCCTAATTATCTTTAAAATAAGTGAATTCATATAGTGAATACACCTTGTTTATACATTGATGGAATTTTATTTTTATGTTGTGTAAACAAAACAGCATTTTTTCTTCAATTTACAAATTGTACTGAGTAGAACTTCCAGAAATCATAAAACTGTTTAGCTAACTAGGGGGTTGTAAACAACAGCATCTGCATCCAAGTATTTGCGCCAATTTTAAACCACCAGGCAGGTCATGCCAAGAACAATGAGATTAGAGAAAGCCACAACAAAGCACAGATGGTATAGAAGAGGTAATTATTTGAAAACATAGCTTAACATTGAAACTTTTTATCTATGAAAATAAAAGACAGCTAAATTAGCTTTTGATTTGCAGAGCCAGATGTTAATGATTGAAAATTGGGTCAGTGCAGTAGTATTTTGAATTACATAAATTATTTTCTAGTGTTTTTCTTTTTCCAGAAAATGATTTACATCTTAATCCTTATCACAGTTGGAAAATTGATGGAATGATGAAATGGTCATAAGAGGAGGAGAAAAGATATTGCAATATTAAGAGTTGACCAGCAGCATTAAGCTTTCCATAATTGCAATTGCCAGTGAACTGCAGCCATTGGAAGATTGCATCAGGAAGAAGATGACTGTTTGCAATGCCAGTTATAAAACATTCAAACTTCTTCTTGTGAATATTTCAATCTATGAAAATGTGATTGGGGAATGTGATGTGAAATGTGAATGACAGAATCGCTTGTGATTTGCATCTTTTTATGCCAATGTAGGAGTAAAAAGAATGACAGGAGTACTCGGTATGATTCTCAAAACTGTGATTCACTGTGATTACTGGAATGTTTCAACTGTTTTACTATAAAACTCAGCCTTGGATGTTAAAATACTGTGAAATGGTTAATATTATTCTCTAACATGTAACTGTGCTTTGAAATAGCAAATTATATAAGATTATGATTTTGTTAAATTTTAATGACAATCCTTTATTTGAATCTCATTCACATTTTATCACACTGAAAAATATTCAGAAAATAAAAGTAATGTATGCTAAGCTTAATTTGTCTAATCTTTTTTAGTATATGTAGTCAAAAATCTTTGTACTAAAGTTGATTGTAAAGAGTTAAAGCCACGAAGTGCCGAAATCGGCCCTGTGATTATGGGTAAAATAAAGTTTCCCTAATTGGAAAATTTATCATAGCATGAAAAAGCTAAGACCTTATTTCTTTAAAAAACATTGTAATTTTTCCGCGAAAACTCATGCAGGTAGATACTATAACAAGCTAAACCAGTATCGGTCACCATTTTTTAGCAAATTCAGCAACATGTCATCAATTTAATCACAAAATTCACTATCCCCCCAAGCCTCGATCTAAAAACAATTGAAAGAAAAAAAATAAATAATAAAATGAGGACAAAAAGACAAAAATATTTTTTGGATCGAGGCCTGGGGGTTATGTGCATCGTTAACTTACTTCTTCTGCAAAAACCCGGAATTTTTCATTCCATGCATTGCTTTTTTGGTATGTGTCATCGAAATGCCGAATTAAATAAATAAAAAAAAATTAAAAACGACCACAGGGTATAATTACCCTATTCATAAGTCCTGTTTGTTTGAAATTAGTTATAATTTTAAAAAAAATAAAAAAAAAATAAAAGAAGATCCGTATTTATCACACATATCGTATGCTGAACATGATTCCAAATGTTAAAAATTCAATACGTACTCGTCAGCTGCTCGTAGTCTTGAAAAATGAAGATGAAGATTATTCATCTTTACAAACCAAGGCAGACTGAAGAGGTATAAATACATACAAGGTAAGTAGTTTTCTTCATCGATTGAAAAAACATAAAAACGTAAACAAATACTCCACTGAAGTTACTGGATCCACCTATAGTCTGTTTTTATACTAGCACGACACCGGTGTGACTTTCCTTCGTTTCAAACATGTAGTCTAAACAACAATTTCTTTGATTGATCCAAATATACTGTACACATCTAATAATTTAAAAAGCATCTTGAGTGAATATCTAGCACCAATACTTTCCTGCTTTAGTTTGTTTTTATCTCGATACACACGAACCGTCTGTTGGGGTAAGGGGCACCTCCAATGGGGGAAAAACTCGGACAAGATGTAAATACAGAGGAGTAAATAAAATATATCTTGACCTTCGCTTAATTTAATTTTATACATTTATTGAATCTGAGCCTCTTATTTTTGATCAGTTGGACTGTACATAGCCGACATCGTTTATGGCAGAATCAAGATTGTTTACGTTTCCTTGTCAACGGAAACTTGTTCAACCGGTGACTAGAGATTTCGATCCATGGATATTCCGGTTCATCAAATTTTATCATCCAATTTAAACCCTAGCGGAATACAATCAAAGGATGGATGTGAATAAAGAATTTATAATTTCTAAATAAATCGATAATATTTGTAATTCTACCACGGTTATTGAAAACTTCAAAGGAAGCCGCCGGACATTATTCTCCAATAAATCACGAACGTCATCAAAAAATTATCAGATCAGAAACACGTATCAAATCTGAACAATTCAAATGCATGTTTGGCTGTAGAATGAAATACTTGTTTAGACCGCATCGATGTGTCGTCTTTTGCAGTATAAACACTGTAAATTGCATCAAGTTGCTGATGAATGTCGGTTTTTATAGCTAAGCGGGGCTATTCCACGGACCTCCCTACACATTAAACAACGTGATTTTAGCGGTAAAACAAGAACATGATTTTGTTTTTGTATATTCATTTTAACTGATCAATACATATTACGAACAAATTTGTAATTTAATTAAAAAGACTTTTTTTAATGCAACGAAAGCTCAAATCGTATGCATTCCATATGTAGGTAAGTCAGCAAAATTTCTCTCTGGTGTTAAATAGAACAGCGTAATCGAGACATGGTGACCTAATTCGTTTCTCTATAGAGGAAACAATCGGCCGTATTTATCGCCCTTTGTAGAATAGAAATAAAGTCCGCGTTTTCGTGAATGTTGCAGAATAACCTCCGAGGTCGAGAAAGAAATGTCTCGCCTCGGCTTTTATCTTTTAAACAACATTTCTCGACCTCGGAGGTTATTCTGCAACATTCACGAAAACGCGGACTTTATTTCTTAAATAGAAAAATGTTAAATAAATCGCTGTACAGATGTGTTCCAAACGTGAAGATAAATTTTATTTTTTCTCTATACACTTTTATATATTTCACTGAAAACCAGTTTGTAAACTGAATTGTAAATTATTTTATCCCAAATCTCATGATAATCCATGAAATTGTTGAAGTTGATGAAAGCAATAGTTTTTGTCTGATCAGCATTGATAATTAATTTTTTTGTATTTTGAGCCTGACATGAATTTTTAAGTCACATTCTAACAATGAATTTTATAGTCAACATTGATCTTGAATTCTTGAACTGATTTTAAGTGATGACCTATTTATTTTTACAGCAAATTAAGTATATATACATGTATAATAATTCTTAAAGAAAGATAACGGCAAATTTGCAGTTTTAAGTATTGAAATAAATAATTAAATTAGACAAAAATTGACCATTTGCCTGTGATTTTACGAAATGTTATTTTGAATGAAATATAAAGAGAGAAAAAAAAAATATTATCTTCATGCACTTTTGCCACACAATTGTATCTTAAATGGGGAAATAAATGCAGGAATAAAAAGATCAATAGGGAACTTGAAGATAAATAAATGAAAGAACATTACATGTACGCCCTTAAAATACGTATTTAAAACAATCTTTTTAAAAAAAAACCAATATATATAATTTCACCTTTGTCATCGTTATACATGTAATAAAAAATATTTTTGTCAAGATATATTTATTAATGTTCTTTCGATCATTGACAAAAATAAACTAAACTATACAAAAATAAGTTGTAAGAGATATAAATTACTAATTAAAAAAACATAAATAGCTTGAATTAATAAACAATATCAATCAATATTCATAAATAAAAGAAGTGTATATTTATATAAAATCTTTTTATTCTAAGTTTTCTGGTCTGATTTCTTGTAAAATGTTCAAGTCAAATGAAATTGAAAAGAAATGAAGTCTTAAAAAATTAAAATGAATTTTTGAATAATTGAAAAAGTGAGCATTTCATTGTTACTTACATGCTTTTTTTTACAGAATGGAGCTAGTTGACGACAGAAAGAGATTCCAATGTGTTTTATGTAAGAAAAGAACTAAGCCAAATGACAGGAGGAAATGTGAAAGCATTGAAATAAGAAAATTTCTGAGGAAAACTTTTATGGTGGATGCTAGACCAGTGGATGTGTTATGTAATAAATGCAGACACTACTACTACAAAAACAAACAAGTAAAACAAAAACCTCCTATTCATGCAAAAACTTATACTGAACCTCAAGGAAACTCATCATGTCTTAGTCCACCATCTGTTACCCTGCCTCTTCAAAGGACTGTTTCTTCCCATGCCTACTGCTTTATATGCAAGCGACCAGGACCGAAGCTCATCGTTGTGCCAGTATCAGCAAGACCCTCTGCATTCATTCACAAAGAAGTGATTATTCCTTCGGGTAGCAGGTGTTGTCCCTCACACATTGCAAATGATGATTTCATCGCAGGAGCACTGGATAACTTACAGACAATAGAAACATCATTTTTGAACAGAAGTACCATCGTAGACCTCATCACCAGGATAAGGAATTATGCAATTCAGAATTGTACATCCAAATTCACGTTTGATCCTTCATACCTTAACAACCTGGACCCGGTTGTATCAACGGTTCATTAAATTTAATGAATCATTAAGCCTAATGAATAGTTAAATTCTTAATGATGCATTAGTTAATGAAGGCATTAAAGTGTGTTGTACAAAACCTTCATTAGAGTGTTATTACTTAATGAATCATTAAATATTTAAGAATTCATTAAAGATCTATTAACATTAGGGAAATATCCCACAATGCAATGCATTAATACTTCCGGGGGCGTATCCGTGGGCGTTTCCTTTTTTTTAATACAAAATACCTATAATAAATAAATCAACCGAATAGAAGTCGTTTTAATTATGACGCGAAAATAAAACATTATGTCATTTAACGAAGTCTGTGAAAGTCTTGAAGGATAGAGGCCTAACGTTTTATTTACTGACGAAATTCAATTTAAATGTAAAAGAAATCAGGGAAAGAAAATTAATTCTAGCGAAATTCAACTTTTAACCGAACTTATGTAGAGAAATATCGATATCATAAATACATGTAGGGGGGGGGGGGGAGTATGGAAGTGAAATACAACCAAAAGTCTGTGTATTTCGCTTTCATTCTTATTCTGTCTTTTGTCTATTATTTGGTATAACAGGCATGCACCTGGGAGGGGGGGGGGGGGGCTCCCGCTCCTTCCATTTTTTTCTCTTTAAAATCAGGGGTCGACACATCTTTTTCCTGTTTATTTATTCTTAAATGCACTCTTCCTGGATTGATAATGTAACTCTTTTGTCTCAATAGGCTGTTCATATTATTACATTGCTTATTACATTTCAATTTAATTTTTTCTCTTCATTTATAAAACTCCTATGTTGTTCTATTCTTATAAATTCATTCTCAAATTCAGTCACACAAACAATGAAACTCATTCAACGAATGTACATGTAGATATAATAACAATGAATAAAATAAATAATAAACCGTTAAAATATCTCTGAAGCAAATTTTTTATTCGTTGTCCTACATGTTGTCATGTACTTGTGATTTGTATCAGGCTTGTGGCAGTATTCTTCAAAAATGAGTAAAAGTTGTTAAAAAAATTAATTTACATGCAGGAAAATGTTAACACGCAAAAATTGAAAATCTGTGCAAATATTTCGTGATGGCAGGCTGAAAAAAGTGTGTGTGTGTATGTGAAAGGAGGAGGAGGGGGGGGGGAGGGTTCTAATACAGTATGTAGATTAAAATCTCTGATATATATTATTCATACGCATGATTTTATTGATACCCAAAAACCTGAAAATAGGAGCTGTATCTATTTTTTTTTACTGTTTACCTTTGTTACAAAGACCTAACCACCTCATAGATGATGACGAAAGAAATGACGTCACTTAGTTTACAAATATACACGAGGGTATTTTGGATTCACTGGGATTACAGTTGGGATTTCTATTGTGATTTTATTTAAAGAAGCATCTTTATACCTATAATTTTGTTGAAAAGGTAGATAATGTGATTCCGAATGTCTTATTGTCTATATTGAAGGTTCGACAGACCGTCCATTATTTTCTTTTTAAAACGATATTATTTCCGAATTTCCTCGTCCATAATGTGCAGTGAAAAAGGCTCACAAAAGGCACTGATTCTTCCCCTTCTGCCAAGCGGGGAAAACATAAAGTAGGCTGCCATACTTAATAACCACTTAATGAAGCCCCCTTACCTTCATTAAAATTGAGGAAATTAATGAAGGTTTAATGCACCGATCCGTTCATTAAAACATTGATACAACAGGATTTAATGACACATTAAAAATAATCAGTTTAATGAAGCTTTAATCATTCATTAAATGTTGATACAACCGGATCCTGGATTACATCACTCTTACTGGAATATCTAAAGACCAGGACCCGGTTGTATCAACGGTTCATTAAATTTAATGAATCATTAAGCCTAATGAATAGTTAAATTCTTAATGATGCATTAGTTAATGAAGGCATTAAAATGTGTTGTACAAAACCTTCATTAGAGTGTTATTACTTAATGAATCATTAAATATTTAAGAATTCATTAAAGATTTATTAACATTAAGGGAATATCCCACAATGCAATGCATTAATACTTCCGGGGGCGTTTCCGTGGGCGTTTCCTTTGTTTACAAAATACCTATAATAAATAAGCTCTAATTTAAAAAAAAAAATTACGTCATTTAAGGAAGTCTGTGAGTGGCCTGAAGGATATAGGCCTAACTTTTTATTTACTGACGGAATTCAATTCAAATGTAATAGAAATCAGGGAAAGAAAAAATAATTCTAGCGAAATTCAACTTTTAACTGAACTTATATAGTGAAAAATTGATAACATAAATACATGTAGCGTGGGAGTGGGGGTGGGTGGGGGGGGTATGGATGGGAAATACAGCCAAAAGTCTGTGTGTTTGTATTTCGCTTTCATTCTTATTCTGTCTACTTTTCTATTATTTGATATTACAGACACTGGGGTGGGAAGGGGGGGGGGGGGCTCCCGCTCCTTCCTTTCTTTTCTCTTTAAAGTCTGGGATCGACACCTCTTTTTTCTATTTATGTATTCTTATATGCACTCTTCCTGATTGAGATAGATATAGTCATAATAATGGAAGGGGGTTCTAGCAAAATTCAAATTATTTCTAACAATATGAATAGAAGAAAATATTAATGTCATTGATAGCGAAGTCACGAAGAATGTTCATTACAAACAATTAAGAAAAGGATAAAATATGGGAGAGTATCACGGCGCAAAATGGAATCATGTTTACCTTTTTGCGAAAAAGATTCCATATATGTATTGTACATGTAGTTATGTTTTGCATTTTTTTTTTTGCATTAATTTATTAGTGTCTTTCCGACAATTTTCTAGATACAGACACAGGTAAATTTTTAGACAACTTAAAATAGGTTTTTAAAGATATCATAATTAAAGAAGGTTACAGGTTCTTTTATTCTTTTCAAAATATACCTTTCTCAATGCAATGAATTATTTATAACATTTTGACTTTAGCAATGAATAAAAAAGATAATAAACCGTTAAAATATCTCCGAAACGATTTCTTTTATTCGTTGTTACGTGTATTTGTGATAGAAGTCTCAGGCTTTTGGCAGTATTTTACAAAAGAGAATAAACTTTTTTTTAAAATTAATTACATGTAAGAAAATGTTTACACGCAAAAGATGACAATCCGTGCAAATATTACGTGATGGTAGGCTGAAAGGTGTGTGTGTGTGTGTGGGAAAGGAGGGGGGGCTTGCTATTACAGTATATTGAATAAGCATGATTTTATTGATACCCGTAGACATTAAAATAGGAGCTGTATCTATTTTTTTTACTGTTTACCTTTGTTGCAAAGACCCAACCACCTCATAGATGATGACGAAAGAAATGACGTCACTTAGTTTACAAATATACACGAGGGTATTTTGGATTCACTGGGATTACAGTTGGGATTTCTATTGTAATTTGATTTAAAGAAGCATCTTTATACCTATAATTTTGTTGACAAGGTAGGTGATGTATATGTGATTCCGAATGTCTTATTGTCTATATTGAAGATTCGACAGACTGTCCATTATCTTCTTTTTTTAAACGTTATCATTTCCGAATTTCCTCGTCCATAATGTGCAGTGAAAAAGGCTCACAATAAGCACTGATTCTTTTCCTTCTGCCAAGCGGGCAAAACATAAAGTAGGCCGCCTAACTTAATGACCACTTAATGAAGCCCCCTTACCTTCATTAAAATTGAGGAATTTAATGAAGGTTTAATGCACCGATTCGTTCATTAAAACATTGATACAACAGAATTTAATGACACATTAAAAATAATCAGTTTAATGAAGCTTTAATCATTCATTAATTGTTGATACAACCGGATCCAGTTTGCAGATCTGCATCAGGAGATAAAATCAGAAATTAGATATACACCCAGTAGAACATCAACAATGTCTCTAGGAATTTTTCTACTGAAAATGCGATCTGGAATGTCAAACCAGTTGATGTCAACCATATTTGGCATTTCAAAGTCATCCATACGAAGAGCAATTTCAACTGTCAGGACTGCACTGATGAAAAAGTTTGTTCCACAAAACGTGGTATTACAACATATATCTCGCCAAGATGTGACAGCAAACCACACCAGACCACTGGCCCAATCTCTCTTTGGAAATGTGACACAAAGTCAAGCCATCGCAGTCCTGGATGGTACTTATATATTCATCCAAAAAAGCAACAATTTCCAATTCCAAAGAAGGACATACAATATGCATAAAGGTCGACCCTTGGTGAAGCCTATGGTTGTTGTCTCAACGGATGGATATTTCCTGACAGTAGTGGGTCCCTATCTTGCTGACAGTCGAAACAACGATGCAGCCATCCTGAATCATATGTTGAAATCTAATATTGAAGACATCAAGAACTGGTTTCAGGATGAAGATATATTCATAGTTGACAGGGGATTCCGTGATGCTCTTGGAGTTTTGGAGGAGTTTGGGATTAAAGCCTACATGCCTCATCTTCTTGCTAAAGGGGAAAAACAAATGCCGACACCTGATGCAAATGCCAGTCGGTTGGTTACAAAGGTAAATACATACATTGATATGAGTTACCAACTTTAAAATATGCAGTGCAGCAGAAAATTTGATTTAAAAAAAATCCTAATTTTGTTGCTTTTTAATCTGATGTTCAATTACTGAGCATAGGGATTTATTGGCTTATTGACATATAGGCTTTGTCTTGATACCCATTTAAGATTTTTATTTACATTATTACTTAATGTTTTTTCATTTCAACATTTATTGACAGATTCGTTGGGTTGTTGAGGCGGCCAATTCCAGGATTAAGCGCTGGAAATATCTTGCACATACCCTCCCAACAAACCAGGTTCCCTTCATAGGGGACTATGTGCGAATTGTGTGTGCTATTTCCAATAAGTATTTACCTCCCCTTTCTACAGGAAATGCAGATGATGATGAAGCTCTCGCAAACAAGATGCAGTACCTATCAAAGAGGGTAAATAGCCTAAAGATCTTTGTGGAAGAAAATGCCCTTGACAAGAGGTCATCCAGCTGGGAAGTTTCTTCTGATTCTTTGAATTTCCCCAAGCTGGATGAAGAAGAACTTAGAAATTTAACTTGTGGTGTATACCAACTAAGGCTTTGTCCAAGTTATATTCAAGAATACATTGAAGGTGATGCAGATATCTTGGTCCATAAAGAACATCCTGGCTTAATTCGAGTTAAGTTGCAGAGTAGGCACATATCATCTAAGAAGTATATGCTCTGGATTCAATATACGGAATCAGCAGTCACTGCTTGGTATTGCAAATGCCGTGGGGGTGCACGTGTGGTAGGTGTCTGCTCGCACATCGCATCTGTTGTCTGGTATTTAGGATTTGCGAGGCACAACGTTGGGGATGTTTCAGCTACAGGTATTCAGAACTGGGGTGAATATGTCAAAGACGCTGCAGTTATTGATGCTTCTGACACTGATGACAGTGACATTGAAGAGTGAAAGCTAGGGATATCATATAAAGCGAATATGAAATACCAACATTTTTTAATCTTTACTCACTGTTTATTTTCATTTAATATGTGAAGTCCTTTATACATGTACATTTTAAAGTATCAAAAAATATCCCTTTAATTGGATAGGTTTATGCGCATGAAGTGAAATATTGTAATTCATCTTGCAATAATTGTTATCTTTATGTTACATGAGACTGAACATACATGTAATGTGTAGTGTACATTTATATCTAAAATCTGTGGTTATGATTGTTATGCCATAGGAAGGCAAACCAGAAAATGAACATGTATTAAAATGAATTTAAAGTTTGGTTATGATTGGATAACATTGTCACTATAAATTGTAAAATAAAATGCATTCTTGATAAATTATTTTTACAGCTACATAAATGTGATACAAAAATTCAACACTGTATCTGGAAATCACCTATTTCCAATAATGGAATAAATATTACATGTATCTCTAAAGGGATTTATAGGTTTAATAATTTTATTCGTAAGGTTTTCCTAATACATATAGGCAGATTCACTATGAAAATGAAAGTTGGGTGAAATAGTAATAAAATCCATGTTAATCTAGCTAGTAAAATTAAACATGTAAACACAATTATTTCTTTTATTATATTGTAATCATATTGATTTTTTTTCTAGGTAAAAAGAAAGTGCGCATCCTATGTTAATTATTAAGTACATTTTTCTGAAAATAAAGATTTTTTTTCAGTAAACGGAGGATGAACATGTATACGTGCATATCTCTTCTTATTTCCCTAATAACGTTATAATATATAATGTCAACGTCATGACGTCATGGTAAATAATTATGTAGAAAACAATAGCAATTTTACGTGGCTGTAAAAAGAAAACTAAAAAAGATATTTCAAAAAAATAAAATGTTTTATAACCTTTAAGTCTTAAAGTATTACTTATGTTAGTTTCACTTATTTTGGGCACAGGGCGGATTTTTGCACTTCGTGGCTTTTGCTCTTTATACTCATGCTATAGTTGTAGCTCCCATTGCAGTAATATAATTAATATTTAATTCAAATCTATTTAAAGCAGGCGTATTTTTTGTACAGGCGTATTTTTTTGTACGGGCGTATTTATTTTGCAGGCGTATTTTGAAGGGTATGCTTGAAATCCAGGCGTAATTCTATTATTAAAATTTCCAGACGTATTTTAAATTTCCAGGCGTACTCATTTGCATATTTCGGCCAAAAATACGGGAGGATTACGCCTCGTGTACGCCCGTATTTTACATTATACGCCTGGTTTTATATATTCATTTCAATAGAGATTTCCACAAGGATTTTTAGATTAAAATACACCTGGATTTTTTTGAAAATATGTGATTTAAATTTCGTACGGGCAAGCTACGTTCTTGTAAGAATTAAAATAATTTCCAAAATATTCCAGAAAATAAACGCACCTTAATTTAATGGATAAATTGAGATAAATAGTGAATAAAAACATTCCTCTGACATTAAATTCAGCAGTATTTAAGCTTTAGACTGGTTATGTCGGCCTTACTTAGTCACTTACACTATGATGTCATGTGACTTCAGTAAATTATCATGAAGTAAACTAATGCCAATCAAACTAATGCAAATCAAACTGTGTTCACATGACAGCTAATGCGAAGAAAACAAATGAGAATTAAAATTTCCCTTATACAATCAGGCGTCAGTGATTAAGGCTATTATGACATCTTTTACAAATCATGTCACCAAAAGCAGAAGCAGATGTATTTGACATAATGTCACAGTGTCTGAACCTCCATTCTATTGATTAATGCTATTTACTTTAATTTTTCAATCAAAAATAGCACAAGAACTTTAAGATGACCACCAATATAAAGCATTTTGATTTAATTTTGCCATTACGCATGCCTCAAAATTCATTTCTATTTAATGGCTAATGGTACTTTGCGGAACGAAACGGAACGGAACGGAACCAGTTGTGGGGCACCCTAGGGGGGGAATAAATATGAATATATTATATATAATAAAAATGAATATAATAAGTTAATTTATTACAAATTATTCTGCCATTTTATATCTTAGGATACCAACCAAAGAAAGTGGCAAGTGTCTGAAGTAAATAACCATAAAATAAAATGTCTATAAGTTATGAATTATTCTGCCGTTAAGTTTTTGATCTGCTGTGTCATGTGTAACGGTTAGTAACTATGTGAACTGTTTTGAATGAGAGACGTACACCTATCATTGATGTAAAAATTTATTAATGCTTTTCCTTCAAAGTTTACTGTCAATAGATTATTATGAAAAGAATGAAACAATCATCATTATTAACCAGTGCCAGGGAGGAACCCCGTCACAAAACCTTTGATATAATAGTTCCGTTCCGTTTCGCAAAGTACTAATATTGTAGTGGATAATGGTATTTTGCGAAACGGAACGGAACCTGTTGTGTGTGTTTCTTTTCTTATCAGCGCAGAACTGAATATTTAAGATATCGATCAAGGTTCAGGTAGTAAATATATTTGTTAGCATACAGCAAATTGCATATCACACGTTTTAAGATCTACCTTTACATAATAATGTTAATCTTATTTTGCATATCAATTTAGTTGAAGATAGATGGTATTTACGTTTTTCTATCAACATCAAGACCTTACTTATAATATTCATTTTTGTTATATATAATATATTCATATTTATCCCCCCGTAGGGTGCCCCACAACTGGTTCCGTTCCGTTCCGTTTCGTTCCGCAAAGTACCATTAGCCTATTTAATTTGAATTAGCTACCCTTAGTGTTCACATGGAGCTAATACAAAGTAATTTAACGAGCAGTGAATTCATTTGAATTAAACATTTGAATAAACTCTCAGTGTGAACAGAGCATGGATGCACCAAATGTCAAACATGGCTTGACAAGCAAAACTAAATTAAAACTAAATAAGTATCTGCCCTCACCCTAACAGTCACACTGTCAATATATAATTAGTTGAATATATTCTGTAACATTAAGTGCAGTTTGAATTATAGGGTATGATCACTACGATAGATAGTAGGACTGTTGTGTTGGAATTTTTGCATTTTTGGTTTTAAAAGTAAGACTTGTTGAAATTACATCCTCAAATAAAAAAAATAAAATAAAATATAAAGCTGTGGGGATTTACAAGGCAAACAGAGAGCGTCTGAACTGTAAAACAGATAATATATCGGTGTGTCTGTGTATTTCTTATAATATCAATGTATGTCACTGTCATGTAATCAGTAGTGTAAATTTTAAATAATAAAAATATTCTAACCTTCATTCCAATGGTCCAAGCCAATCATACATTAAAATGTCGCCGTCAGCTCTTTCATCACTCGATACAATTATCACTGGGGAATCCGAAGCAGAGTCAAGAGTGTTCATCCTTGTTAATGTGACAGTCAGAATTTCCTCGTAAACAATTCACACAAGATTCTTAGAATATATGAATCGGGATAATTCTGCTTAGAATAATGTTCCAGAGGAGTGACAAAGTACTTCGTAGCTACAGATTAAATGTGTGTGCATGTCTACATACGGATTCTTTGGTGAGAAAATGTTCAACTTCACAAATCATTCTATTTTCAGTTTGTAAACATGTGTCCGACGTCGACTCGAAGGGGCACACTAAAAACGGGATATACTAGAGACCTGATATTTACCTGACGTTTTAATTTTTATTTAAATGGTAATATTGAGTATATCAAATTACTTATGTAAAGACTTTATGACTTTGAGGCATATGCTATACAAAAATTCAATTGTTTGGAACATTTACAGACAAATTTGAATCAGGTCAAATCAGTGTTTAGTACATCGCGTCTTTAGTACCTTCCTATTTCCCACAATGCCGCGCGTTGTTTACAAACAAGAGATCCCGAAAAAATCCTCTAAACTAGGGCCTAATTATTGTTGTGTACATCATCACATTTTAAAATTATTTGAATAAAAAGAAAACAAAGAAACACTGAATCAAAACTATATCTTTTAGATGCATCAACTAAAAATGTGCACATGGTAAAGGCTTGGCTGGCTATAGTAGACAACTTGTTCCTGAAAGGTTTCTCACATACTTGTTTTATATAAAAAAAAATAAATATAGCTGGAAGTTTATTTCTTTTTATATCAAATGAGAAGATTTTATAAGTTCGAAATTATTTCAGTCAAACTTTTTCATAATATACCAATATTTTTAGCTATCAGAAAAAAGCGTGTATGAGCTATTAACCCCCAATTATAGGGACCAGCCCCTTTTCGTTAATCTAATATGAAAGCTCTCGTAATAACACACAACTTTTGTTATATATTTCTTACCAAATTATTTTCGGTTTAGAAGTTATTTCACAAAAAGTAGCAAAAATTCAAAGAAAAAAAATTACTAAAATTTGCCGTTTTATAGCTTCCAAACTTTAAGAAATCAGCTATATAATTTTATCATTGTGCACATCTACAATGTATTGGCTACAAGTTCTCCAACTTTCGTGTAAATATCTCATGTCGTTTTTGAGATTTTTAGTGGAAACGAGCATCAAAAATTTTCAATTAAAGGGCAATAACTCACAAATAAAGGCATGCATCAAAAAATTGAAAACAGGTTTAAATAGGTTTAACTACAAGCTATCTATCCTGAAAGTTTCATAACGATCAGACCAAAGGTCTTTGAGAAATCGCCTGTCAAAAATCGAGCGGAAAAAAACAGAATAATAAGAAACAATAGAATAAAAGTAGGGTCTTCCGAAGGAAGCGGAAGACCCTAATAAAAATAGTGGAAAAGAAACCTAAGAATAACAAGAAGGTCTTCCGCTGAAGACGGAAGACATGCTGTCATAATCATATTTAACAGGGCAAATGTAAGAGCGAGAGAGAGAGAGAGAGATAGAGAGAGATTTAAGCCACCTCTATTCTCAGATATCTGCTGTATCGAATAAAAAATCATCTTGTTTTTTTTTTCTAAATATTCCAGACAGTAAAAGTAATCATTTTTGGAAGATTAACAAATCCATTTGACAGTAGGCATCGGCTTTTATTTTCCTTCATCAAGTTCACACGGTTCACTCGAAGTCCATGTGCTTGTCCTGTCAATCAAAATCATTCGACTCAGGGGTGGAGGTGTGAAAATCTCGTTTCACCGAACAAGCGGAAGTCAAGGAG